GACAGCCACTGTTCTCTGTGAGTCATCCCTTCATTCTCGAAGTTGATTGATTGCCTGCTGTGTGTCAGGCAGCGTCTGAGGCCTTGGCGGTTCAACCAAGAACAGGATAAGGGAAGGGAAAGGAAGGGAGGGAGGAGGAGGAGGATGAGGAGGGTGGGTGGTGGGGAAAGAGGCAGGCTTACCTCCTGGGAGCAGAGGGCCCTGACAGCAGTGCTCTTATTTTCTTCCAGCCAGGAGTGCCGGGCCTGGGGGTGCTCTGCAGCATGTCAGTGCGCTCCAGGGAGTGGGAGGACGAGGACAGGGCCAGCATGGGGCCCATGGTCTCCACGGGCAGCTTTTACCAGTCCGGGAGCGAGGGTGGCGTGGAGGAGCACCTGAAGGCCAGAGCGCAGGCGTCAGGTTCTGGCCACCAGTGCAGCAGCGTCGAGTCCTCAGACGGGCCTGCCAGCACTGTCGACTCTGACGTGCCCCGGGTCATCCCCTGGCATTTCAGCATCTCCCTGGCCTTCCCGGTGAATGTCGGTAAGTGCTGGAGCAGATTCCCACACCCTCTGCAGAAAGAGGGTGTGCTAATGACCTCCTCCCAGGAGTTTAGGGCACCTGTGCTCCCTCCACCCTCCACTGGCTCCCCCAAGTGGGGTGGCTGATGCCCAGGAGCAGAGGTCAGAAAAGAAATTGCAAGTTTAGGGGGCCCTCTATGGGCCAGGCAAGTAAGTGGTAGTATGGGCTCCCCATACTTAATCGTCTCCACAACTCTAAGAAGTAGGTGGTGTTATTTCTGCCTTTTACAGATGAATAAACCACGGAGAGGTTAAGGCATTGCTTCCCAAAAGCTGGTTGTGCATCACTTAATTCCTTGTTTAAAATACAGATTCTCAGATGTATTGAAGCAAAATCTCTGAGTGTAAAGGTATATCAATTAGCTATAGCCACAAAAATACTGTGTAATGAACCCAAACTAGCTCCCCAGTTCAGTGGCTTCAAACAGGAATCCCTTGTTCTCCTGGATGAGCGACTGGGCTGATCCAGGTTGGGCTCATGTGCCTCTCATCCTCCTCGGGATGTGTGGGCTGGCCCAGACACATTCTTATTATAGCAAGGCAGAGGCACACAAGAGGGCAAGCCCAGTCACCCAAGCATCCTTCAAGGCTCTGGGCACCTCCCACTTGCTAATGTTTGATTGGTCAAAGCGGGTCACGTGGTTGCCCAAGATGAGGGGCAGAGAAAAGTACTCCACTTTTTGATACGATTTTTCTTTTGTCGCCTTGAACTGTCCCCGCCCCCTCCCCATGATGATTAATTTCAGCTTCTCCTAGTAGTTCTGTCGATTGCTGCCCCAGCTATTTTGGACACTATCGATCAGGTGTATATTATGTTTAGAATTGACCTATCTTCTTGGTGAATTGAACTTTTTGTCATTATGTCTGACCTCCTCTATCCATAATGATGCTTTTTATCTTGGGTCTTTTGCTTTCAAGCAAAAGATCCTGGAAAAAGACATCTGGCAAATACCAACCAAAAGAAAAGCGGTGCTTATTTGATCATCTTTGATCCTCACATCTCTTGCAGCATCTGCTGGGCTTGTTTTCTTGTTTTGGTACTTCCTCCAAAGGCATTTACAAAATAGATCTCTGTGCAGCAAAACTTGAGCAGACTTTGCTTGCCTGGGAGTGATTTTATCACGCCAATACCTTTGAAGGACGTGTCTTTGGCTGGATATAGAATTCTAGGTTCAAGGTTTTTTCCTTCAATACCTAAATATTTATGGGTTTGTTTATAAATGTTTATATAAATTGTTTAGTTAAGAGAAATGAGATCCTACACATTCTCTTCTACAACTTGCTTTACAAAAATTTGACAGTATGTCTTAGGTATCTTAGAGGATATGAGCATACTTGTTTTTACTTGGCCGTTTTGTTTTAAACACCCATATGGTGTTCTATTGTCTGTCTCTAATTTATCCTACCCCTTATTGGTGGACATTTAAGTTGTTTCCAAGTTCTTTCTGTTACAGTTCTGCAATAGACATCCCTCTGCCCTCTGCGGGGAAGGTCTGCCTGCTTTGCCCCTACAAGACTCTGCTGAGGTCCCCTGGGCAGCTTTCCCAGCACTCCCGGGCAGAGTTTACTCCTGCCTCCTCTGTTGCACCTCGGAACCTTGTTTATGTTGCTGCTGTTACACAAATCACATTGTGCCGTGATTTTTTTCTTTAACCAGCTTCTTACTGTCTAGGGTGAGGCAGGTGAGGCAGAATCGCCTAAGGTGAAAAGTTTAAGGAGATGCTCCCTCTCAGAGTCATGCACTGAAATTTTGCACCCTGGTGTCCCATCCCAGTCCTGCTACTGTTACCAAATTGACCTCACTCTGGTGACTTCCAACCCATATTCGGAGGAGCTCCAAGGAGGGACCCACGGGTGGGCCTTGTACCTGCAATCTGTCCCCTCCCTGGAGGGTTCTTTTCTGTTTGGAGTTGCGGATTTGAAATGAAACCGAAGCTGAGCAGTCAATGGCAGAAGCTTTTATTCAATGGCCAAAGAATGGAGAAGTGGGAAGCAGGTTCACAAATCAACTTCTCAGCTCGTGGGGCTCGTAAGCAGCTGTTATAAGGGGTCCAGGTAATGAAGGGGAAGACAATTCATAGTTTTCAGAGAACTGGGCAGGCTTTCCTGGGGATCAAGGGTGCCACCTCTTTTCTTTCCTTATTTG